AAAAAGGAAACAACAACAAAATAGCTTCTTGAGAACAAGATAGCAAACAGGAAAAAGAAAGGTTTGGATAAATTGTTGAAGAAATTCACCAGAAGTAGAACAAAAAAGAAAAGCAAGAACAGAAAGATAAGATGAGAACTTTCCAAGAGGACAGCTCTAGAAAGAGCAAGAAACTTGGACAGGGTGACCAACCACTCTGGTTTACATGGGACTATCCTGATTTTTAATTAAGGCTGAAAATCCTTAGACTTAAAGAGTTTCCCAAGGGAAACGAGGACTGCTGGTCACCCCCATCAAGGAATGAAAACAAACCCACAGTGATGGCAGTGTCATGACTTTTCTAAGTAATAGAGGTAAAGATCTGTAAGCTTACAGAAAAACAGGTTGCATATACAACAGATCAGGAATCAGAATGTGTCCAGAATCGAAAGCTAAAAGACAGTGCAATTCTCCAAAAGTCTGAAGGAAAATAATTTCCAACCAAAGCTCTACATTCAATCTGTCAAACTATGGAGGTCGTATATTTTCAGAAGTTCAAATTAAAAATAAATAAATAAAACTTCAAAAAATTTCATAAGTACTTTTTCTGAGGAAGTAAGTAGAAGATATGTTTCCACCAAAAGGAATTTGCAAATCAAGAAAGAAAAGTGGGACAAGAAAATGAACAGAAGACTGAAGAAAATCCCGAAGCTAAAATGGTGTAAGGAGGTACAAAAGAGCAGCCCACGAGAGGTCTCATTTCTTCGGAATAAAACAGATGTATACACAGCTTGAGAAAAGATTTAGACAATTAGTAAAGAGTTTGAAATTTAGTGATGGGTTTATAGAAAAGAAAAAGTATTAAATTCAGGAAAAATAAAAAAATGTTTTTTTATAAAAGGAACGTTCCTATATGACTCAGTGTCAAGAGCATTTATGTATCCATATAGACACTGAATGCTGGTCATGACTGGGAAGATGGGCAGTATGTATAGCAAGTGTTTGGTGTGTGAAGAGGCAGGACATATCTTCCATGAAGGGCATGCAATACTGCTTAAACTGAAAAAATAATCAAATAATCAACAATTAGACACAGGGGCATGTCATTTATAGATATACAATACCAAATAATCAGCTGTGGGGAAGAGCAATGGGCAGCAAGACTGCTCTTTTTTAATAATAAACTTATATGCAAGTTTTGTGAAACATAACTTGTCTTAGAGTAACTGACCTAGTATACTAAAATACATACATACCATGGTTGTTTAGAATTCACAATGTGAAACAAACAGAACCTTCTTAACCAAGAGGCCAAGACTGCCCATCTTCCCAGTCATGACCAGCATTCAGTGTCTATACGGATACATAAATGCTCTTGACACTGAGTCATATAGGAACGTTCCTTTTATAAAAAAACATTTTTTTATTTTTTCTGAACCAAACATTCCATTTAATGTTTTTTAATTTGGCAACTTGTTTTAAAAATTTAACCTATTTTTTTAAAAAGTCTCAAAAATATCAGAAATCACTGGTAATTTTTCAAAATGGTTACATTAATATTGACATTTTTAATTGCTCAATTACTTTAACAGCTACCTTATAATATAGAAAGCTCAAAACTCCATCTTTAGAATTTCTAACTTCCTTATCTAACACTTCATGAGGCTAAAAAATAATTCAGTATTTTAAACCCAGTATGGATGCCCTTCAAGACCCAACTAGGTAAAACCAAGAATTTAACCTTTAAATTCTTCTCTCCTGCTCATCTCATCCTTCCTTCCTTCCTTCCTCCATGCTGGAGGTGCAGAGGACCATGTCTCAAATTGGTAGAGACAGCCGTAATCTAAGCAAAATTACCCTGAGAATTTGAAATCTGCCTGGTTCTTGTCTAGTTCTTAATAATGGCTACAGACTGCACTGCACACAAGTCACTGGAAGGGTATGAAACTCAAGCTGGAAATAAGCTAGTAACTCTGCTGACTATGTTATTAATAATGTGTACATGATGTACACTTTAAATACTGCAGAGGAAACTACACCTACAAATAAGACATATCAGACTGGAAATTTAATACCTTTAAATTTTTCAACAAATAAGTTCAAAAATAACCCAGATTTTGATCAAAAACTGTTTTATTTCTATGCCATCTTTATCTTCTACTATTCAGACAGTATACACATTGAAATTGTCTAATTATTTCAGAATTAGCTTACTTTACTGGTAGAGTAGCAAAATTTAATCTGAAGCCAAACTAGTTACTAAGATATTATTAAAACCATTAAAAAAAATTATTTGTATCATTACATTGCTCCAGCAGTTTTACAGTATTGCTACAGAAATTTGAAAGACTTGTCTATTTGCTTAGTTAGGTTAAACAACTCATAGCAAGAATAATTTCCTAAAAGCACATTAAAAATTATCACTAAACACAATCCTTTCTGGAATATTCTCAAGAATTCCACCAATTGATACAGGATGACCTTAGTCCCAGAGCTATTCTGATGAGTTGCAGCTGACAAGCCACAAGGCTTCAGGAAGCCATAGCTGCTAATTCCTCACCAGGAATTTGTACATCAGCCTATTAACAGTTGCCGGAGAAGCACACTGGAAAAGCTCTTCCTGCTTAACTAAGTGTATTATACCATTCCCCAAAGGGTGTTTCTCAGACTACTGCTGTCTTCCAAGGTAGTAACAGGTGGTCAAACAAATTTAAAAAACAGTGAGTGAAGCAAAAGTCACCAAAAAATTTCTCACAGCTTTCAAAATGTTAATGCCATCCTGAATCTCCTTGGGTAATATGTGAACACTGGAGAAAAGAGGTTTTCCACAAGCTTTACCATGAGGCTTTACTGACCAATCATACCTTAAAATGATCCTTTACCTAGGCAAACACATCACATTTCAATTAACAGTTCACTGATTCTTAAGAAGTTAAAGAAAATAAATAATAATCCCAATTTGGAATGCTTTGTACTTCCTACAAGTGGTGTACTACATTTTTTAGGTAATCTACAGATTTTGTTTCCCTGAAATACACTGTTCACAAACCTGCCTCTCAACTCCTTCCCACTGAATTTAATTCTGCTCCCTGCAGATTAATGTGCTGGATTTTTTTAAAAGGAAAAAAATCAAATTCCTGATATATTTGAAGGGTTTTTGTATACATGTCAACAACTCTAAATTCACCATATGTGGTACTTAATTTTACAGTTATTTTCAGATACATTCATTTATACTTCACAAGAATGAACAGTATCATTTGCAAACAAGACTAGGGATTAGGCTGTTATCAATGCTACAGTTGAATGATTTGCCCAACCTCACAAAACTATCAAGAGATAACAGAACTTTAAATCAGGGTCTTTCAAATCTAAGGACAGGTATACCTTAAAAGCTGATCAATGGATCAATGGATCAATGGATCAATGGCTGGGATTTATCAATCCTTCATTCTCAAAATGCTGCTGTGAACAGATTTTCTGTCTAATGAATGATATTCAACTTCTGCCATACACCCTAAATTCTGTGATGTAACCTATGTGGAACTGATTTCTAGTTCCACCATCTTAACAGCTGGTTACTGCCGGATGGTTCTGCTTCACTTAAATGCAGAGAGGAAGAGGCATAAAAGTAGAGATAAATAACTCCAACTGTCAAGACAATGTGGGCAGGACCAGTAGACAGTTAACTGTCCTTTTTTTAACCAGGCCTTTTCTTCCCTGTTGACTTCAAGATACCAATCTTCAGCTTCATTCAGTATCTGTACTTTCAAATTCACAAGATTTTATACAGATAGACTATGTATTTAAAATTCCTAATATTACAAAATTCTACAGTCTAAGAGTAAAAGATGTTACCTTCATGATAACCCTATGATACTGGATGAATATAAGATTTTACAGTGTCTACTAATACTGTCAAAGTTTAGCTAATACTGAATCAATTGAAAGTACAGATTGCAGGGTTAAACAGAGCTCACAGTTAGTTCTGATTCAATATTCTTAGACTGATTTAATAATAGCTAACCTTTGACAAGAATACTAATAACAGATGCTATATAAAACCTCACAGTAACCAAGAAAAGTTCTAGCCCTATCAAACTGGACCTCAAATGTTCTACAAGGGCTTAAAAGGATAGCAAAACAAGCTTCCTGGATAAATACTACAAAAATCAAATGCTTACAAAATTATAGAAAAGCACGGCATTATTCTCTACATTTGCACTTTCTCAAAGTAGGAGAAAAAAATTAATACATTATTAGCAACCATATAGTTGAGGAGGGTCATCACCAGTTCTAATCAGTTTTAATGAGATATTTAGTTTCCTGAAGAAGTCTTGGAAAAAAGAGAGGAAGAAAAGTACCTTGCAATCCCTTCCTCCCGTCTAGTATGTTTCTTTGCTTGAATTTTTATTTTCAAGTCAGTTCTTTCTACTTTACTGTTAGCTTCAAGAGGGCAATATTCTTGCTCATTTACCAAGGACCCAGTGTCCCATGTGTACAATTTAAAAGGTATTCATCTTTAGACTAGGCTCCTTAAAGGCCATAAAACATTAGTGTATAAGGATTAATTTATGCATTTATTCTAATAATTTAGCTCAGCATTTCCATACATCAAGAATGTACGGTACCAAAGACAGAATTTGATCTCTGATTATGGTCAAGAGGAACTCATAACTAAAACAATTTTATGGCTGGTTATAGTAGACAATACAACTTGATGTCCCACCTTGATAATAGTAAAGCATTTAAGTAGCAGATACTGCAAGAATGAAGAAGGATACAGGCACTGAATCATGATGGTTTAATAAGGAGGAAGCAGCATTCCTTACGTCTCCATAAAACTAAATGTGGTATCAATTATTCTGTTCAGATACATTAATAAATGTAAGACTGCCTCAGACTAGGGAAAAACTTAAAAAATAAAACAAACCTGACTATCTTGAAAGGACAAATCACTTGACAAAACAAGAGAAATTTTCTATAATTAAAGAAAAAAAAAAGATGTCTCCTCAACTTACTTGCTAATTTGGCCTGTAATCCAGAAGGTCCAGGTTTTGATGTCTCTGACTTAGAAGACCCTGGAAGAGACAGTTTTGTTTTAGGAAGGCTAACTTTAGGGCTGAAACGAGCAGCCCAATCAAATTTTGAAGAGCCACCAGTTTTACTCTGTTCCTTTTCCCTGCTACTTCTTCTGGGACTGGGACTGGATGCTGAACGGGAACGCCTGGACTTGTTCTGGTCTTTTCCTTGTTTCACCCTGGCACCTGGTGGCACCGTGGAGGCTGAAGCTACAGCAGAAGACGAGGAGGAAGTAGAGGCAGAAGAAGAATCAGTGATGGTGCTACACCCAGCTTTGGCTGAGGCGGCTGATTTTGAAGCCAGCTTGGTAGGTTTTGCAGATCTCTCTTCAGCACCAGTTGATTCAGACACAGAACCACTCTTTATACAAGAACTCTCTGTCCTCTTTCTTTTCTGACTCCGGGAACTACCAGTGGCCCCACTCTTTCTGGTATGAGCCTTGCTTGTTGATGGTGATTGTGCAGATTTCAGGTGTTGCTCCTGGTCTAAATGTCTCTTCTTCGACTTACTGTGTGGCTTACTCGTTTCTGAGGGAGATTCAGTATGCTGAAGTGCTTTTGGTTTTTTTGCAGAGCTAGGAGAATTGGTCCTGTTGTATTCTGGACTAGCACTGCGCTTCACTCCTCGAGAATTGTCCTTCTTAGGCACCTGCCCCGTTTTTTGCCTTTCTGAAGTGTTGGCTCTGTCTGGATCCTCTGGTTGTGGAACTAGGACAGCAGATGAAGAAGTGCAGCTTCTAAGAAGTTAGACAAGAAGAGAGTTAGAATCGGCCCCCACCACTATTAAACCTGCCAAATAATATTTGTTAACTTCTCAAGTCAGTGGACATAAGTACATTAAAAAAAATTCAAGTTTTCCTGATTTAAGTCCAATACTAAATAAACATAGGCTTCAAATGGTTCAAAACTGATGAAAAACAGCAGGTTCAATTTTGGATGGTAAAATATTTGATTAAAAGACCACAGTAATTCTTCAGCCCAAAGGCTACTTACTGACACTAACACTCCTAACCAAAAAACATGAATTAAGATACGAGAAAAAGAATGCTTAGTAGTTCAGAACCAGCTGAAACTAGAATACCAAAGCTTTATTCATAAATACAATTTCTTTGTCAAAGCTTACAATAAGTAAGCATTAATACATGCACTTTCAAAATGAAAAAAATTTGTATTATAGAATCAACAAATCTTCACAGTTATATTCCTTTCTGAAGACTCCTACGAATTAGACATAAAGAAATCACTGACTGAGCATCCAGGCTAATAAATGCATGGAGTGGAGTGTCTGGAGAGGGCATGGAAGCTCTATACCCTTCCCCCATACCTCCCTTCTCTTTCACCTGGCTGTTCCTGAGTTGTATCCTTTTATAATAAACTGGTGATCTAGCCTGGAAGCAATCACCAATCTATGGCAATGAGCATCCTAGGCTACGAAAGGAACCAAGGAGTCTTGGAAAAAAGGCTAATTACAGATGTGGGGCAAGAAATGTACCAAGCTAGTAACCACAATGTTGTTAATGTAAGTGTATATTAATGATACCAAAATTAAAGAAAAAAAAAATATATATATATAAAAGAAAGAAATGTACCAAGGAGGCTATCAAAGACATGTCAAATGACCTGGGAACAAAGTTACCATCAAGAACCACTGGCCAGGCCTGACTGGAGCTCCATGGAATGGAAGACACGTAGGATTTATGATTGCTGGACAGGCCCTGGAGCCCCTAAGAATAGCAAGGCCTTATTGGGTCTGCCAGTAATCACCATTCAAACCTCTTTGTCGATGGCAATGGCGAAGTGCAGGGGAACCACTGGCCTGAAGGCTAGGGCAAGCCCTACCCAACAGGTCAAGGGAGCCTGATGCCTGAAGGTAGATGCACAGGAGCCAGCTATATCTGTGCATGGTGGCAAGACACTGCATCCAGGCTGTCTGGGATTAGTTCCTGGGTCCCAGCCATGTAAGGACAGAACAAGCCACAGAAAAATTTCTTTAAATAATAATAATAAAAAGAACCATTGGCCAAAGAGAGAAAAATACAAGCAATATTAAAAAATACTCTTTATGTTAAAATTTGTGGAAAATTAAAGCTTCTTAATTAAAAAAAAAGAAAAAGGAGGAAGGAATCATTGACCTATGGCTCTGACAATAAAAATGACTTAGAAAAATGCTAAAATGGAATTTCAGATGCCTATAATGGTTTGTTAAGCCAAAATGAGAGCCTCACAGCTCTCTAAGCAAGGGAAAACATACACTACCTAGGGCAGGCTTCACTGGTATCACTGCAAAGGTGAAAAGCTATTAATCCTAAAGGTTATATTCAAAGAATAATGAAAACATGTAACATTAACCTGGCAAGTTTTAACATTACACAATGATTCAAATGCAAATAATTCTGCTTTAACATATATAAGCAATGTGAAGATTTACCTTTTAGAAAGGTGTCCCCTTGACAGTTCAGAAGTAGTATTAGACTGCACTTTGGGTGCCTTAGAATTAGATTTTCTACTCTCAGGAGGGCTATATCCCTTATGTTTTGCCTGCCCTAAATGTGACCTGTCAGCAGAAAATCAAAACAGAAATCTATCAGGAAAATGAGATGCAAATACAATACTGAAAGTGAAATATATTTTCATTAAAAAAAAAAAAGACCTCCCAATTCTTCATTATTGACCCTACCTTTTTCCCAAATATTTCTGTAATAAACTTATTGTTCTATCAAATAACCTGGCAAAAGAAACTGCTTCTTAGAACCAACCCCTATTAATACTCAAGAGTTAAGATTTTTTATTACCAGTTGTCATAACTGAACTGCAGTATTATGGAGATGCTTAAACAATAATGAATTTTTCAGAAATTTTACTGTAGACTTTGAAATATGCTGAATTTTGGCAAAAAGCAACTACAAACTTCATATCTAAATACTTCTAATAGAAAATATAACCAAAATAGCTTAAAAGGCAGTGTGTGATCCCTATTATACTGATTCCCAAATTGTACATTATAATTCAGATTAACACAGTATATGCCGAGGCAAAGGAAATCAATTCTCAAACTGATTCTACACAGAAAATCATTAGAATCCATAAATCGCAAATAAACATGCTTACATAAAACCAATGGAGTGACATTTGCTAAGAATTTAAAGCACTGATCAATAGAAAACACACCAAAAACCAAATTCTTGAGAGATAAAGAATTTATGACAAAATATTCCAAACATATTCAAAAGATTCCATTATTGATACCTGATTGGATTATTTATAATACATCAAATCCTTTTGTCAGCATTGTTCTAAGAGGTAGTCTGAGGGACGCAACACAACTTTTCAGTTGTTAGAGACTGTTTTCACCTCTAGCAATGCTTAGAAGAGATTTACATAAGTAATAAAAGGAAGCATGCATTACTGTATACCCAGAGAAGCTGGTGTTATAGACATGAGACAGTAATGTAGCAGATGCAACTAATGTAATTCACAGTCAACATCCATCCTTCATGTAATAATGTAAAAGAGCATATTCTGATGAGAATAACCAAGTTTAATTAATACCAAAGCTGTTGTCTATAATTTTTAAAATCTCTCATTCTGAACACCATCCCAAAGGAACTAAGTCACTGAAAACTTCAAGATTCTAAATTCTATCTGTAAGAATGCCATGCAGTCTTAATGTATCATACAAGTTCCACCACCTCTTCAAAATAGAATATCTAAAGTTCCTTGTCTTGGTTTCTTTATTTTTTTCTTTCATTTTCCCAGAAGAATTCAATTCTTGAAAGAAGATACAAAATTAATTTTTCAAGGAAAGGAAATATATTTCTTGGATCTGTAATAGTTTCATTTTTAGGGTTCAAACCTGTAACAGAATGTACTTTCTAAAGACTAAGAATAGATCAACTACTAAAAAACTCCAGGTCTTTATAGTCTTTACATTCATCTGTAGGAATTGGCTTTTGTTTTTATTCCATTTCTAAAAAAAACCTCTCAGATCTGGTAAGAAAAGAGATTGAGTAAATTTTCAAATCATTCCATAGTTACTTTTTTGAAAAGGAGGATAAAGTGTTCTCAGGGTATACAACTTAATGTCCATGAGATAGTATTTACAAATTATGTCATTCAGGGTCACATATCCACTATGAAATCAAATTTGCAAGAAACGATCTGCTAAAAGTCTCCAAAACATTGGCATCCTTTGGTGCTATAAACCCATTTTAGGAATTTAACTTCATAAAATCACAATCATTTTCAAAATGAAAAAAATCGGAGGCCCAAATTTAATCAGTGGCTTTCACATCAAAGAAAATCATGGAGCAGAAACACAAAGTAGAAATATTCACATCATTATCTCTGGGTGATTGGATTGAGATTATTTTATTTTTCTTAATTTTCCTGTAGCATCCCAGTCTTTTATTCTCAACATACTGTGTTTTGATAAGAAAAACAATGGAAAAGAAGCAATCACAATAGTAATCTTAATCAAAGCTGCCATAAAACTAAATTCAATCCCACCACTGCCATTTGAGAAAAACAAGAAAAAGGACACGATATAACGAAAATGCTACTGCACAGCCAAGAGAGAGGGGTGGCCTAAAAATACCTGTGCTAAAAGTGGGAACAGAGAAGCAAGCAGTGGAAAGGAGTGACTTCCTAAAGAAAAAAGAGAACAGAGAAGAGGAACAGGTCAGCTAGAGCCCCAAAATATAATCAAAGAAAATATAATAGAGGAGGAGTAAGGTGTCCTGTTTCATTATGGATAGAGATGGTGGATGGGTGAAAAAGACCAGAGAGTAGTCAGGAGAGATTAAATATTCTCCAAAGATCCAACTTACTTTTATCTTAAGAGTGAGTGAAACAATTCTTAAAAAATAAAAATAAAAATAAAAAAACAATCTTGATTTGGGGAAAAAGCACGAGTGGCTACAGGAAGGAAGCTACAGAAAGAAGACAGCTTAATGCACCTTCAGAAGAAAATGAAGTGGATCAAAAATGAATGAATTTTAAAATTCTAGGAGCCAAGAACTGCTACTTAAATTTTAAACCGAGTTAACACTCTTCAATTTTAAGTACTTCATACCCTCCTCTAAGTCCTTCATCACATGGATTAATGGTTAGTGTAGTAAAAACAGTTTAGCATAATGAAAAGATCACCGCCTTTAGAGTGAAGAGGTTAAAAATCAATCCCTGACTCTACACACTAGCTGTATAAATAGTTGAGCCAACTACTCCATTTAGAAAACAGGGATTATACAAATTTAGCTCCCAAGAGTTTCTGTCTCAATTGAAAGAATATTAAAAATTTCTAATTTAAAACCCCCACCAGTGCTCTTGTAGAAGATGCTGTTATTTATTACCATTACCTGAATCACTCTATCGCCATGAATTCATTTACACGCCTTATCCACTAATTTTTGTTTTTGTTTTTTAAACAAAAGCTGTTACATCATTTTACTTAGGAAAGCTAAACCACACGAGTCAGATAAAGAGAATGAATATAGTTGTAATCGCTCTTTCCCAATTAATGGCAATCCCCTACCAAACATCACTGGAGAGGTTTCTGAGAGGATAGATCATTGCCAGGATAGCACACTTTACTGGGGTTTCAAGTCAGTCTGGAATCTGATGAAAAGGTCCCTTTCAAACTAAAGAGGCAAAATGAAATTCCAAGGCACAAATGTCTAAGTCAACTGGTAAGAATTTTTTGGCTAAAGTTCTAAATTTCTATGTTGTAATCATACTTATCCATATAAAAATAGGAAAAATCTATACTCAAAGTGTTTATCGCAGCACTATTTACAATAGTCAAGAAATGGAAGCAACCTAAGTGTCCATCAGTAGACAAATGGATAAAGAAGATGTGGTACATATACACAATGGAATATTATTCAGCCATAAGAAGAAAACAAATCCTACCACTTGCAACAACATGGATGGAGCTAGAGGGTATTATGCTCAGTGAAATAAGCCAGGCAGAGGGAGACAAGTACCAAAGGATTTCACTCATATGTGGAGTATAAAAACAAAGAAAAACTGAAGGAACAAAACAGCAGCAGAATCACAGAACCCAAGAATGGACTAACAGTTACCAAAAGGAAAGGGGCTGGGGAGGATGGGTGGGAAGGGAGGAATAAGGGTGGGGAAAAAGAAAGGGGGCATTACTATTAGCATGTATAATGTGGGGGGAGGGGTATGGGGAGGGCTGTGCAACACAGAGAAAACAAGCAGTGATGAAGGGGGGAGCCTAGTAGACATAATGTTCTTCATCTAATTGTAGATTAATGATAACAACAACAGCAAAAAAAATTGGTAAATTATGGTATAGACATATGATTGAACAAAAAGACTTTAAAAGTTGTAGTTATAAACAATTTTTAAAGACGGAATTTTTAAGGACATAGGGAATGACACGTATGATACAAGGCTAAAAAAAATCAAACCTCTTTTGTGTACTACTTTTGTGGGAAATATTTTTTGAAGACATGTTAAACGTGAAATTTTGAGAACTGAAATGGGGCTATGTTACTGAAAAAGAGGGAGGAATTAAAGCTATAAAAACGCTAATTACACTTTTCTTTATATTTTTTTGGTATGTTTCCTGCCATTGCAAACACACTTAGTATTTTCCTTCATAACTGAGCATATATATAATTGATTGGCTTTAAGCACAAAAACTATGGAGATTTGCCATTCCCAAAGAGTTCCACCTTGATTACAACTTAAAGTTATTTAAACCAATGCATCTTAGTCAGTAGTAGTAACCATTTCCATTTGTTTACCACTTATAATTTTTAAATACAAAATATTTAAATAATTTAACATAACACTAACATGCAGAAAAGATAAACACTTGTGGATTTTAGTAGCAATGTGACAGCCCAAAATATGTGTCAGTCGTGACCGAGAATCTAAACAGAACCTGAGGATTAGTGTGTATGAAACTGCAGTTGTTTGAAAGGTACAAGTTACTTATGTGCACATATATGCAGTAAAAAAAAAAATTTTTTTTAAAGACTACAAAGAAATATGCTGATGTTAACAGTGGTTACAAGCAGACTGGAATTATGGTCTTTTCTTTATGATTGTGTGTATTTTCCAAATTTCTAAAATAAGTATGTCATATTTTTGTAATGGGGGAGTGTATTTTTTGTAAATGGCATAAAGTGTGGCTCCTCCAAAGAATAATCTGAATGTAAAAAAGCAAAAAACAGTTTCAGAACAAAACTCTACTAAGCATTGTGCTAAGAGCTTAACATACTCCATTACTGAAGTTAACCGATAAGGTATCCCCACTGTGTGGACTAAGAAACTGAGGTTTCTTGAAAAATATAAACAAAAGACTCACAGCTAGTTAGCGGCAGAGGCATAACTGCATATAAGGCTGTCTTAATGCAAAGTCCACGTCTGTCTCAACTACTAAAATAGCCTAATGTCAACATGTGTTTATTCTTTACACTTGCTATTCAAAATTTTTAAGCAATACGCAATATATACATGGTAATGCCTAAAAACGCTCCATCAGGGAATATTAGAATTTTGCCTTTATTATAAGGTAAACATCATTAGTCCATGGACTGAAGAATCAGAACTTACCAAGTAAAGTTCTGAATATTTTATGCATAAAATGACAGTTCTTGGCTAAATCAGACAAGGAATTTTACATTCAAGAGAAGGCATCTAGTTCTTCACACTACCTCCTGTACTACTCCAAATAAAAAGCCCAGCTAACACCAGACCAGTGAGAGAATGATAAGGGATGTGCTAACAGCATCAGACTGCTCACCAGCCTTGCAGCATTCATGTTGTCACCAAGTAAAATGGGGAAAAAATTCAAAACCCAGTTCTTGAAACTCACGATCTTAAAACAAATGATGCCTTCTCTTTCAATAAAGTGAATCCAGTCAAGATATAAAGAAAGGGACCACACATGATTAAAGATGTGTTGTAGCACGTGTTTAGGGAAGTGAAAAGAGAAGAGGCAAACAAAACAACCCTGAAGTAGATTTTTGATAATGGCAATGACGGAGGACTATTTTTTGAGCCCAACCTATTTGGGAAATTATTATAGTGTTACTTTGAATTCTAGTTTTATTTGTGCTATTTGGCTCGAAACTTAGGGGAAAAAATTATCCACTCGTGTGAACCATTTGTTCTGATCCCCATAATGAGGTTTTTAGAAGAATATTTTTATTCCCAGTTACTTATCAAATTATCATTAAATACATACCTTCCTCCTATCGAGTCGTCTTGTGGTTGGGCCCCGGCAGTGTTCCTCTGTGAACGTCGCAGTGACCCCCCTGGATTGTTATTAGGCCGGTTGGACATTGGCACCTCTCTCTTGAAGGGACATACCCTTTCTAGACACTACCATTCACTAAAAGGAAAAAAAAAATGAGAAAAAAATAATAAATCAGCTATACATGATAAAACACAGAAAACACACTGAGAGGAACCAAAGATGATGGGAAAATTTTACATAAACAATTAGACTGTACAGCCCTCCCCTGCACTATTAATTAAACTGTAAAATCTGACTGACTAATGTGTTATTAAAATGTCAGGAATATACCAAATTCAAGGCATGTGGTCCTGACCCTAAACACATAAAATCAACAGATTTCTCCTGAAACACCCAGGAAATTCCCAATTCAAAGAAAACGGCACAAGCAGAAATCTTTGTTTCTACATTTCTAATACCATGTAGAAAAGAACATTGCATCTGAAGTCACAACACCTTGGCTCAAGCCATGTGGTAGAACAGTACAAAAGGAGCCTGCTCTTACACAACCATGGCCTCGGGATAAACAACAACATAGGCCATGCCTACCTCACAGCATTGCTGCAACTAACAAATGAAATCACAAATAAAAAGAAAATTGTAAAACTAAGGAGAAAGCAGCTCAAGTACAGTGAACTAACTGAGAAATGGGCCCAGATATTCTGGACTTCAACATTAGCTTGTGCTGGCTGTGATCTCAGCCAAGAGACGTAATCTCTAGATTTCATTTGCCTCATCTAGTAAGTCGTGTATTACCTACCTCACTTAATTATCAGCAACAAGAAACTGTTGAATGTACTTCTTAAGTTTAACAAGTTAGCTCAAAACAGTTTTTAGTCAATCTGAACTTCCTATAAAAGTTATTATACAAGAAAAATGCTGATACTCAAAGAAAATCAGTTTAACTGATAAAAGAGGTCAATATTACTATCAGAATTACAATTTGTATAAGTCAAATCTTTCACACAACTTTCCTTAAGCCTCCAGTCAAACTCCAAATAGAGTTCTTAGATTTACTAGGGAGGGAAGAAAACAAATGATCATTATCACACAGAAACTGGTGTTGAAAAGAATGTAAATTCATCATAACTAAATCTACCACAGGATTTTAAGAGATTTTATGTACTGTAACAGGAAAGGGTTTTCTTTTTTGAGTTACACGTTGATTCAATTCAGTAGAAAAGGATTGTTTCCTGTCACACAAGCCCACATCATTATATTTAAATAAACTTTAGTCAGTTCAAATCATTAGCCTAATCACTGTCAATTTTAGAAAGAAAAATAAAAAATACTATAGAAACATTAAGAGAGAGAGAGAGAGAAAGAGGAAGGTTAAGTTTATGTGTACTGATATGGAAATAACTCCCCAATATGTTAGGGGTTGCTCTCATCTGTGTGTATATATATATTTCAAAGGCTTTACATATGTATCTTTATATACTGTCTACACCTTGAAAATTGATGGAATGATTCGTAAGACAGACTGTGTTAATACTGACTGCCTTTGAGAAAGAGGACTGGGATCTGAAATCTGAGACAGAACGAATCACCTCTGGAAGCCGTTAGGTAGGTCACTCTAGCATAGTATGTAGTTACAAGTTAGGGCTCTGGAATGAAACTGCCTCTGGCTGAGTTTGAATTCTGACTCCACTACCAACAAGCTGTACGACCTTGTATGACCTCTCTGCATTAGTCTATCAAATGGGGATAAGAAACTTACATCACAGGCAGTTGTGAGGACTAAATGGGGAAATCCACATAAACTACTTAACACAGTGCCTGTCATCAAGGGCTCAGTACATACTATTATAGTAATTACTACAAACATTCATTCAGAAAAATATAAAGAATACTTGTGGTTATAGTAATATACTGGGAGAAATTTCACCATAAACCAGTCAACAACAGTCTTAAAATTCTAGCAATGCAGTTTCAAAAGTGAATTTTGCTATAAAGAAAACAAAGTGTTTCTAAGGGTGAGCATTAGTCACCTGGCAAGCTTCGTCAAAACATGACTGCCTGACCTCTGCTCTCAGAGATTCTGAGTCTGTGGGTGCAGAAATTGGAGTCATGTTTTAAAAAGCACTCTCCTGGTTGCACTGCACTAGAGAACAACTACACCCCATTAAAGAATTAAATAAAAGGCTTGTCTATTTCAGAATTCATCCAAGCAGTTTTACTACTTCACCATCTCAATGCCATTTCACTTGGACCCTAAACAGCACAGATACAAGAAAACAGCATGGTACTGCCACTTCCACTGTGAAAGGCAAAGAAAATTCTTCTCAATAAACAGGGTTGGTAGACCCCACCTGCCCACTTCTTGCTATTAAATGCCTACTGTATGTCATGAGGGTCAGTCAAATGAATACAAGTCACACTGGTTATTTTGACTTATAGTTACCGAAGTAACCTTAATAAATAATGCTGCTAATATCTTCAGAGCTTGTTAACCAGCACCATTAATCAACCAACAACCTTTCATGGACAATTCTTGAGATTTAAGAGAGGAAGAATGGCAAGTAAGACAGATATTTATCAAAGTGCTATCTGCTTTTAAAGCATAAGATGATCTTTAAGGAAGAGAGGCCAGACTCTGTAAACTTTGTAATGTGAATTCCCAAAAGGTAAGTATAAGATTAATATTATGATACATCTAAGATCTCTCCCTCTGCCGAATATCAATAAATCAAGGGTTGTAAAGGACTCTCAAGGATGAACAAATTCAACCCCTTACATTACAAATTAAAATGAAGAAAGTTCAAGTCATCTGTTGAGGAACATGTCCTCCGAATTCTGAGACTGAGAAGATCTACGCTTTCCAGGGATCACCACTACCTCAACTCCAATCAACTTTAACTCCTCTTTGCTTCCAGCTAAGAGACCAAAAGTTTTCACTATGCAATGATCTCCTTTCTTGTTATATGAATAGTCTATACTGTCTTGACCAATTACTTAGGCCTACCATATTTTACTAAATTTGAAGACACATACATACACAAAGAACTATACTGCTAGTTTGTTTTTTTAAATAACCTGAAATGATTATGAACTCAAGGATTCCACCTTAATAGGTTATCTCATAATGATGAAACCTTAAGTTTTAAGTCCAGTCTATTAAACCCTATCAAGTCCTGGAATACACTACTCTTCTAACCATGGATGTATCATAATTTCTGTGAAATTTCGCATAAAATCTTTGTTATTACGTCCTAATTCACTGAAATAAAATAGATGGTGCATATATGACTTTGAAGTCAATAGAAAAAGCATAAAAACACTGATGGGTATGTTCAAGATTATACACAACCTGATGATGACTTTGTTCATAGCTTTAAGTGTCCAACAAATTTAGTCATTTTTCAGGTTAAATGGCATTTGAAGAAGTACTTAGTTCTTCAGACAAACAGAACTTCAGGAAAAACAGAATTTTATATTAACTGGTATTTCAAAATTCATTCTTAAAATTTCTTAGATATTCTTTCAAGGAAGCTTCAACTGCAAACATTTTGGAAAATGATTTTCCTCTATTTGTAACTCAAAATCACAGAAGAGAGGTTAAGGCTAGGGGAAAAAAACAAGTTCAACAGTTCATTTGGTGCAAAACTTTCAGAATTCTGAGAGAAATCAATTGCAAAAGTTAATTTTCGGATGTGGTAGTTCTTAGTTAAATCACCACAAGTCTGAGAAAGGAAAGCTGATACCAAAGTTAGTATTCATGCAGCATTTTAAATCACATAAAAGACGTTTGATAAACTGGAGAACAAATCTCCAGTTTAGAAACCCACAGCAGGGTCATCAATAGCCCCAAACGAGCTAATATGTTAACTCATGTACTTACTACCCATTCCCTATTTGATAGGCAATTCTAAAAACTAAAGAAAAGTGGCATTATTTTTACAGTAAAAATAACTTTCTTTAGAAAAAGCTAATACTTATATCCCATGCAGTATCTGCAAAATGTTTTCAGCTTTCATATTTAAAGTGAATCTCACTTACCCACCCCTTCCTCCCTCCCCTCCTCTCATTTCTTACGCACCCTATTTTCAGATGTGGTCCTCCCAAGGATATATGCCTTAACTTCAGATTATGAGACGAGTTAATAACAGTAATAAACACAATTTGGATAGCACTTTATTCATTTGTTTATTCTAGTAAGCAAAATATAAATGTGCCAGTGAGCCTTATAAACCATTTTATTATTCCTACTTTACAGGTAAGGAAACCAAAGTGTTAGAAAATTAAGTGCCCGGCACACAACAAGCACTGGCATTTGGACCTACAGATTCCAAGTAATGGCATCCAAAACTACAGACATGAACAACTACTTACATTAGATAAAAAAGGAAATGTCTAGATCTTAGGAGAAATTATGCTAAGTCAAACACACTAGTGGCACTATTAAAAACAACTCTACAATAAAATGGAATAGAGGTCACCCTTGCTTATAAAATAGAAGTCTTCTTGCTTAAGAATGGCAAGAACTTCAAACAAGACTGTCTTTAAAATGGGAATGAATAACCTTTAAGCTTTCTGAAGTGCAAAGGATTGAAAGGTGAAATATAAACTATCCCAAATGGTTTTGTAGACATTTTTCTGTCATTTTTTCTCTCCAGTAAGAGGCAAATAAAAACAATCCCCACTTCTCAAGGTCCTTACCGCTCTAAATCCCCTCTACCAGACTCAAATCCTGGCTCTGCTACTTAATAACAGTACGACCCACAAGTACCTTAACTTTACCTGTTTCTTTCTCCTTTAAATTAGACATAATATTAACTTTAGGGTTGAAATATTGAGGCAATGCATATAAGACTCTTAGAAAGTGCCTAACACATGATAGCTGCCATTTAATGAGTGCCTTTTATATACAATTCAATGACTGGTGTATCTGGGAAAAAAGGATAAGAGTCATCAAGTTCCCCATCCTCAGCAAGAAAGGAACTGGAGAGGAAAAATGACAGAAAAATGTCTATACAACCATTTGGGACAGTTTATATTTCACTTTAAAAGGAGGCAATACAAAACTTGCAGTTAGTTACTATTACAAGTCAAATGTCAAACTCAGTAGCTGTATCTGTTAAAGAATAGTGCGAAGT